TAGTTCTATTTATTCCTTTTATTTAATATGCATTTATATGTTGTGCAATTTTGCTATTAATATGGTAGGATATCAATTTCTGCCCCTGATAACTGAATGAGGTAATTTGTGCAGAATTGCTTAGCAATACTAAGTACATGGTTACAAAGCCAGTACATGACATCTGTTGTTAGGCTTCTATTCCTGTAAACATATTCAAATACACTGTAAGAAAACTGAAGAAATCCACTTTACACAAGAACTTTTGGATGAGCCCATGATTTTTCCTACTCAGAGTCAGGTAAACAAAATCATATTTTTTTGTTTTTATTGCATTTGATTTTTATTGCACTCTTGGACTTTATCATACACGCTCTCTCTAGTCTTCTAGCGGTTATTTTCGTCATCAGCACCACCATGATAACTGTATCTCAGAAAAACACCAACAATATTCCCAGAGTACTACATTTTATAAGGCACCTCTTCTTATGTTTTCTTCTTTCCACAACCCTCTGAGTACAGAGGAAACAAATCATGTGGCTAGTGTGGGATAGAGCTGAGGTTCAGAGTCTAATTCACAATGATAAATGGAAGATTGGGGCAATTATTAGTATTGCAGAGGATTTTTAATAACACCTGCAAACATGTCCCATCTTTAGAGAACAAATCTTGGAAAAGACTTTTTTGAACTAATCATTGATTGAGCCTGACCTTAAGGAATGTAGACATTCTTGCCTGTGTTTCTTCCCCTTTCACCTTCCGTTGGTGACCTTGGAAAGGGCTCTCAGATACTGGTTTCCAGCTGCCCCCAAGCTCTTCTAGCAGGCAGAAAGGCAAGCAGGGATTTGGGGTGCAGTGCTAGGAATATTTGCTTTTTCATCAGGATTGTAATATGGCAGTGCCAGAAATATGGCAGGTCATGACATTTCTTAAAACTTCATTTTTTTAAGAGCAGTTTTAGGTTTACAGCAAAATTGAAAGGAAGGTACAGAGATTTCCCATATAGCCCCTGCTCCACACATGCATAGCCTCTCCCACTATCAATTTCACTTACCAGAACAATACACTTGTTACCAAGGATGAACCTATACCAACACACCATAAAAACCCAAAGTCCATAGTTTACCTTAGGGTTCAACTCTTGGTGTTCTACATTCAGTGAGTTTGGACAAATGTATAATGACATGTATCCGTCATTATACTGTCACACAGAGTATTTATATTGCCCTAAAAATCCTCTGTGCTCTGCCTATTCCTCTCTCCCCCAACCCCGTTCCACCCCTGGCAACCACTGATCTTTTTGCTATGTCTATATTTTTTTGCCTTTTTCAGAACACCACATAAGTTGGAAACAAACAGCGTAGAGCCTTTTCAGATTGGCTTCTTTCACTTAGTAATATGTGTTTGAGGTTCCTCCACGTCTTTTCCTGGCTAGATAGCTCATTTCTTTTTAGCGCTGAATAATATGCCATTGTCTGGATGTACCACAGTTGACTGACCCATTTACCTTCTTAAGGATATCTTGGTTGCTCAGGTCATGGAATTTGATAAGGAAAAACTCCTGGGGATGAGCAAGTTCTGCTCATTAATGTTTCTAACACGGCAACGTGACTTGACTCCACGCAAATATGTCTAACAGCTTTAGAGCTGAGGAAGAGATGGATGGGATGTGGTTTTTACAAATGATCTGTGTTGCTGGGTGGGATGAGAAATGGGAATATGCCAGGTCTTATTTAAACAACAGTTCGCCAGGTGACAAAGAATTAAGACAGCAGGAAGGGCTTATCTGTGGGTGCGAGGCTGAGTGCTCAGTCATTGCGGGCACAAGAGGAATGTGGGAACCAGAAGAGGATGATTTCAGTAGAACTGAAGGAGCTATGCCTCCATCGTTATTATTATCAACTAACTAGCATTATTTTTCTATCCTAGATCCCAAATTTGGATGCCACCCTCATCCTTGAAGGGCTTATACCCGAGGTAGATAAACATTGCTGTCTCTGTTCATTGATTTTCCTAAGCATTGACAATATTTGAAGAATACATGTATTTTTGACAGTGAAGGTTTAATCTTTCACATCTCTGTTTTTAATCAAGGAAATATTAGTGTCAAAGTAAATTTTTGTGACTTTGACTATTTTGTTGTGGTGAGAGTGAATAAAAAATTTTGATCACATAAAAAACAAATGACGAAAAGTCTACCAACTAAATATTAAAAATGACCAGTGGAGGTTGGCTTGACAGGTTTGTTTTTATATGCTCAAGCTCTCACTGACTTTTAAGTTCTGAGAGCAGAAACTTTGGGGAATAATGCTGTAGGAGCATCAAAAAACAGAAAAAAGATATTAGAGTTTGTAGAAATGCAGGCCTGCTCATTCCCTGCTACTCACCTCAGATGGTTTTAAACTCTGAAAATGATGCTAGAACAAACAGATCTGCACATAACTAGCTTTAAAACAGGGCCCTGTAACAAGTCAAAATATTCTTACGGGAACAATCGGTAGAGCCTCAAATCCTTTTTGGACTCCAGGAGAGAACGTGTTTTACCTTGCCGTGTGACTGGTAGAGTGTTGAGAATACCTTTTGTATACATGTATTTTTATTTGATTTGTGAAACAGGCCCTTTCCCTTTATAGCCAGAGGAGCCATTCTCAGAAGGCATGCAGGCAATCAAAATATTTTCAAATCCCGAAAGCCAGAGAAACACTAGCTTTCGGTTTATTCACTGGGCTGTGTCTTTCTAAACATTTTCTTTTCTAAACTGGCCCTAAAGGACAGTAAACTAGGCCTCTATTAGGCCTGAGCGAATAAAAAAGTTGAGGATTAAACGGCATTCAGCAGGAATGTCACCCAGATGATGTCTGTCTTAAGATGGATGGTCAGTCAGGTAAGTTGAAACAGAAAAAATAAACAGAGGACCATCACGCTGTGTTTATACAAAACAGCCAAGACTTACTCAGCAACATGCTAATCACAGACTCAACTAGATGTCAAGAAAACACATACAACGGGTTTTCTTTCTTAGTTTTTCCCCCATCCCAGTCTCGTTACTCTGTGTCAGCAGTGTGCTAGGTGTTGATAAGGCAATATAAGCACTGAGGAAATGGATGGATATTTTTTACTGGAAATGTAACTGTTGACATATAAGCAGGTATTAATAACAAGGGGTAGGTTGGAGACCTGTGCTCCACAGAAAGAGAACGAAATGACCTAAGCCAAGCTGGAATTTCAGATCTCTGCTGAATTCAGTATTTTGTAATGACTGTTTCCGTTGCCATTTTATATGCCAAGGGATCAAAACACACGATGTTTGTTAAGTAATTAGCATCAATCAAAAGTTCACAGTTGACAACAAACGGAGACAATCAAATGGTATTATTGGCAAAGAACCCTTTCTGAGAGTTCTAAATGCTGTATCTGACGGCCATTAACAGTAAGTGTTCTAAGAACTGAAATAATGTAGATGGTGTCCAGATAGGGGGAAGTCAACTGTGTTTTGACAGTTCAGCGTGGGACTTGTTCAGGGACTTCACCTGTGTGGGATAATTTAAGATGTAGCTGACAAATCCTGACTTCCTTTGAATCATAGAAAATATTTGTGAGTTACTATCAGTTGCTGCAAAGCTAAATTTAAACCCATGCCCTTGGCTTCATGAGATGAAGTATTTCTGTAGGATCTTCATTTTCTTGACGTTATCGTTTCCAGTACAATTTATACTGGCACCTTCATAATTCCCTGATGCTATGGAGCCAGAACAAAACATACTTTGTGGCATCTCTTGTTAGTAGATGTCTTCTGGCCACACATTCATCCACATACATGCCAAGTGGGGTTGGGAAAGTGCAGGTAGAAAGTAGGCTTATCGTATCCCGGAATCCCAAAATGACGGCGTTGTTGCTAAAGCCACTGAGGAAGGTGAGTTGTGCTACCTTTATTGAGCACTTACTATATTCCAGTTTACATATACAAGTCTCCCCCCTCCCCGCTATCTGAAAGTAGGGCATTTCTGTGAAACCTTTTGTAAGCTGAAATGGCATAAAGCAAAGAAGCAATTACCTTAGGACACATCTTGGTAATGGAGGCACAAAATAAATCGAGATGAAGCACAGATGCTCACAGACTCAGTTCAAATCTATCATGGCTCGATGCTGAGATGCTGAGGGTAGTTCCCGGGGAAGGAGCTTGACGGTGTCTTTCTCGTCGCTGGGAGGAGCTGCCTCCAGAACAGCTCACTGCAAAACAAATGCTGACAATCAGGGACACCTGTGAAACCTCTGATTGTCCATAAAACCCCAGAGAAGTAGGCAACACTATCACTACTTTGTAGACAAGAAAACTGAAACTGTGTTTAATGAACTTTCCCGAGGCTACCAGATCAGATTTTTAAATGAGCATTGACTTGAAAGACCATATTCTTCCTATTACACCACAACATGCTATCTGACCACCTTGAGAAGCTGTACCAGTTTGAAATAGAAAAAGAATCAATGGTGTTCATGATCCATCGTTAACAAACACTAAGCCTTGTCACACTGGCTCCTCAGTCCTCTTGGTAACTGAAATTACCAAGCCCGGCAATTCTTATGCCAGCCAGGGAAAGGTAAAGTTAGCTAAAGGAGGAAAAAATAAGAAAGAGAGAATATGAGATTGGTCTACTTGTTGCTGGCTTTTAGAGGACATAAAGGAAGACATGTGTTTCCCTACAACTTTTTTCTGTTTAAAAGATAAGTGGGATGGTCTAGGGTGAAGGGCAAAAAAGAACATTGATGTTGTGAGAATGAGCAAAGGAGAGTTGGTTTGGGGCTTACTACTCCATCTCCCTGGTCATTCCGTCTTTTACTGAATGAGAATATTCTGTTTGGCTTTCAGGCTGGGCTTGTCATGCGAGAAGTGTATGTTAATTTCATATTTTCTAATAACTTTCTTTTGGGGATAAGCATTTTGGTTTTCTGCTGTTTATTATTTCAAAGGCATCTATATGCTAATATGTTTTATGCTAATTATTTTCATGTTTTCCCCTTAGGTTATGCTTCATATCACCCACCAGGGAGGATCATCTCTCATGAAAACTTTCAAATTTGATTTTGAAAATTATTCAGAAAAATTTAAGCCCTGCTATCTCCCAGTGTAGGAAAGAATATGCTCTGGAGAGCCCTGTAATTCAAAGAAAATGGACTCAAATGGATAACATTTGAGTTCTCATGCTACCAAACTCCTCTTGAGAAGAACAGCCAGGTAGGTGAAGCGTTTAACATCATGACATTGAAATGTTGGAAGAATAATTAAAATAAAAATCTAATAATAGGTTTTCAGAAATCACTAAATTACTATTTGATCCAGAGAAGAGAAAGGAAAGGCTGTTTTCATTCTCCGCAGCGTATGAGGTGTGTTAACTGCTTCTATTGCTATGAATACCGTATTTTAATTGTATGTCATCATTTCTTAGTGTCATTTCTAGAAAGTTCATTCTAATAATATTAGGGGCTGAAACTGAGTTTGTGCTAACAGGAAGAATCAGGGAAAAGAGGACTTGCATATAACAAGCTAGCTTGGTGTTTTCTTCCAGTTTTTTTTTTTAATTAGAGATTTTTTTAATGAGTCATAATTTAAAAGTAGGTTGCAATTAAAAAAAAAAGTTTAGCCAAGTCATCTATCTTAAAAACCTTTTTGCAGGCATCTTCTTTTGAAAATAACCAAGGCTTAAAAACTGATTCCTCAGCATGAGGTATTAAAACTTAGATCTCTTCAGAGAGTGTTTTACGTTTCCGTGGGTGAGGAATCGGTCCCCAAGCACTGCAGGAGCCCAAAGAAAAGGCCCCCCATTTCACAGGCCCCTGCAGTGGTCTCTGCCCTGCTCTGTGCTTAAGAGAAGCAAGGAATCAGAAGCCCTGGAAGCTTCACAGCTGACTTCAGTTGGTCTGTGTCCCGCCTCTTCTGGGCCTATTCCTCCCTCCACCTTTGAGGGCTGCACCTGATTTCATCTTTATTAAATGCTTTCACTTTCCGACCTCAACAGTTACTTCACCCTGCAAGAAATACAGCCCAGCTGCTGCTATTCTGCTCTTGCTTCACTTTAATGCCTCTTGAGCTCTAAGACAGCTGTGTCAGTAGGAGAATTCCTTTTCAGGGTCGGAAGAAAGGTCTCCTGCTGGAAGGGGGCCTGACAGGTACGCTAGGCTCTCCTCCGGCAGAAGGGGCTCAGAGTCAGCCTCCCAAAGCCAGGCGAGGACAGGTACCTGGACGACCTGCTCTGGGACTGCCAGCCGGCCTTTCGACACTTGCAGTCACGACCTCTCTCCAAATGGGAAGAATCATTGCTGGGGATACATCTGGTAAATTGGTTAGAACAGAGGATTGTCAGTTAAGGTAAAATAACATTTTGTTGAAACCTGGCTGTGTTTGGTACATTCTGTTGACAGAAAAGACCTGCAATAGTTTATGTGCTAAGCCTTTGTGACCCATCATTACTTTCTTTTCATTCTACCTTGTTGGTGACAGGAACAAAATAGCTACACATTTTCCCTTTTAAAGTTGTGTTTGGGGAAGGAGTCCCTGAGCTAACACATGTGATCTTAATGCAGCCCCAGCGAA